TATAATACATGATCAAGTGTAAAAATATTTGGAAACAGACACACGCCCTTCCAAATTAGCCTTAACAATTCTCCATCTGGCAGCCCAATTGAGCACCCCCGTATGGGTGTAGTCTCGGCGAGTCTAGAAAATTCTCCGGTAACGTGATGTGTCGCCCCGGTATCAAGTATCCAGTCAAGAAAAATATTCTTACCCGTCATGCGTTCATTGAAACTAGGTTCGGGAGTAAGAATATTCAAAATAGCCTGCACCTGTTCCTTATTCAAGCCCCGTAAACCACCTCCATCAAAGTTGGAGCTGCTGCCGCTGCCCGAGTCAGTAGATGCCAAAACTGGTCCAACAGCATGCGCACAGGCTGCCCCCCCTCCACGTGCAGATGTGCCGAGATTTCCCTTGTTCTTGTTTCGGTCCTCCCACCACTCGGGATAGCCATGAAGCTTGAAACAATTTCCCATTTCATGACAGCGTTGTTTGCAATGCGTACATTGCAGCTTACTTCGTTCTTGTTTGTCTGCTCGGACCTTAGGCGGCTCAACCTGCAAAGCAAAAGCATGATTATTTGCTGCCACGGTTTGCCCACGAGCCACAGCTCGAGACCGTTCTTCTTGAAGGAAACTTTGGTGCGCGCGATTGATGTCTGACAGTGGGTTTTGGGACAGCAAATTAGACCGCACCGTCCCATAAACCTCGTCATCAATTCCAATTAAAAACTGGTGCAATTGTTCCTCCTCCCTATCCGCGACGAATTTTTCCCACCACGTTGCAAGTGCATAAAGCGCAAGTACAAACGTGAAGTGGCTTCAACCAGTAAAGCTCATCATATAACCCCATCAGTTTTGTGAAATACTCACCAACGGACATAGACTTGTCCTGCCTACAATCGTCAATCGAAGCCTTAAGTTGCTGTAATCTTGGTCCGTTCACCTCACTAAGTCGTTTCTCAATATATTTCCACAACAAATTGGCTTGAATCTGCCAACTCTTTGGGAGATCTGAAACTTTTGTGTTATGGCAGATGTGGATCCAATCCCCAACTCTAAATCTGCCAACATAATGGCAGATTTTTTCCGCCTGAGTTGTGGTGCTCATAGGATGGGGCGGTGGTGGATGGCGACGCCGATCAGATGGTGATGGCATGGATGGTGATGCCGATATGGGAAGCGGCAGCGGCAAGAGACGGCGATGGGTGGCAATGATGCGCCGACAAGGATGCGGCAACAGGCAGTGAGGGCGGCAAGGGTGGCGACAGGCGGCGCATTCGCCAGTGAGGGTGGCGTCTCCGGTGAGGGCGGAGGCAGGATACGCCGGAGGGCGGTTTGGGTCTGGCGGCGGCAGTGTTACTGCTAGGGTTTCAATAGTTTTTAATTTTACATTTTTAAAATTTAAAATATTAAAAGAGGGGTAGTTTTGTCCAATTGTTCTGAAAATGGTCCTATGAAACTTGTGTTTCGTTTATAGTCCTAAATGTGCAATTAACTTTGCTATTAGTCCTATTTGAGGCAACTCTTCAAAAAATCCTACAACATTCGGGGTACTTGAATAAGTCCAATAATAGAGACAAACTACAATTTTCATGGTCTTCTTGATTGTCCTGATCATGGAGCTGTGGCTGACGCATACGTCTACGCCGCTGACATGGCTGAAGAACAACTCTGTCACGCTGAGTCTGGGATGTAGAAGTTGCTGATGTGGTAGATGTCGATGTCATAGAATCCCGAGAGGGGGTCATATGTATAAGATAGCCATAGTTCACTCGCCCCAACACATCCGAACACAAGAAAGCAATGCCCGTCAAAATCTGGTCGTACGTGTCCATGTCATGTGTATCACTCACTATGGCAGTTGCTCGCTCATGTATACATTGCAAAGCTCGTGTCTGAAATGTGAAACATGAATTATAATTTTTTTGAAATAAATAAAAATGTTAAATAAAGAACATGAAATACTTTAGTGATTAGTAGCACACTCACTGTCAAATGCAGAGCCATGGGACTAGGCTGATAATGGTGAGTAGGTAGTCTGAAAGAAGGAGAGACAACAACCGCGTCATGCTGTAATACCATCTCATGTAGACTATAGAAACAGATGGGACTCATGGGAGTAATGTCGGTATCCCAGTCACAACAAGCTTCGCTCGCCTCACCCATATAACGCCGTTTCGCTCCTACTTTCGCACATGTCTGAGCGACCAGTCCTCTGTATGCTTCCCACGCCTGTCCAGCTTATGAAGATCCACACATGTGTCCACAGCTGCTGGAATGACCTGCTCATAGCCAAATTGACGCAGTACACGATCAGGCAAATGAAGCTCCACAATATCAAAACATATGAACGGGACACGTGCTCGCCATATATCATAATGCTCTCGTCCTGGACTGTATATGGCAAATACCGCCCATCCTCCTCTACAACCATGTCCAAAACAACATCATTTGAGGAGGCCACTACATTAACACCATGCCCAGATACAACAACATTTGATGTTGACGGAGCTATAGAAGTGTCACCTATATAATATGCAATGTATATCTCCATTATGTACATAGTCATCATCTGAACTATCGTCCACAATGTCGTGATAGCTTCCTCATCATCAAGTGGCATAAGCATGTATGATCCCGTGTGAAGGGGATATTTCACCTGCACTTGCAAAGAATAACTCAGAGGAATCTGTGCAGCAACATATAATTTTTGCAGCATCTCACGCATACATGTGACACGAGAAATGATAAACATCCATCTCCCACCACCTTCATAGCGTATACCCCATGCTTCCTCAAATAATTTCCCTCCCCAATGACACACTATTGGGAAGTTGGAGAAATTCATATTCTAATAACAATGCATGACGATAATTGATGAGTACACATTAGTATACACACTTTATACACCTAAATTCAACATTTCATAGACATAACAACATATTTAAGAACTCTCATATTTAAGAAAATCCTACTACCTCCATCCCGCTATGATTGTCCCATTTTACCTTATCGGTCCGTCCCACTAAGATTGTTCCATACCAAATTTGGTAAAGTTTGTGTGGCTCTAAATCATTCTTACTTTATTCTTACTTTATCAATTCAATATCAACCACATAAACGACTTTTTATTAATTTGTGTGCCACTCCCTCTTGTCCCATTATTAGAAGGACGGAGGGAGTATTATATACACCATACTTAACAAAGTCAAAACATTACATTTTCCAAAACAATCAAAATATTACATTAAAATTCACATTACACAACAAATCCACAACAAAATCAAAATATTACATTGAATTCAACATTAAAATTCAACATTTCATACATATCCACATTTCACAACAAATCAATCCACAAATCAATTCCTAATTTAAAAATTCGAAATTTATACATTCTAAACCCTAACATGAAATATGAGATGAAATGGAGACTGATTTACCTAGAGGAAAGAGTGTTGAAGAAGACAGAGGTGGAGTCTCTTTGGCAAGGTGGAGGGGAGTCGTCGTTGATGCACTCGCCGGAGTTGGAGCCGCTGTTTCGAAATCGCAGAGGTTTGGGGCTTCTGCTCAATCCTGTTCTGTCTACAGAAGGTTGGGCAACCGCCGACCGGCCTGATTTAAAGGGAAAGTCGCCAAACCGTTTGACGACTTATAAGTCGCCAAAACGGGATCGCGACTTATAAGTCGCCAAACGGGATGGTGATAGATAGTCTATACCGGGATACCGCTGGGGGTATCCAGAGAGAAGTTGGAGCAATTAATAAGAGAGAGTAGATATGTAATAAATGAACTTGGAATCTCCTTACAATGGAAAAAGTGACGCTATTTATTATAGCAGTCATAAATGCTAAGCGCATTTAATGCGAGTACACGTGTCAGCTAATCAATGGTGGAGGGTCAACTCAGGCGGGGTGACGACGACATAGCATGTGACACCTCATTTAATGCGATGGTTGGATGTGACACCGCATTAAATGCGGAGATTGAGTGCGTGCACAGAGGATATCCTATCGGTGGTGATGTCCTCGGTTGTGGGTGCCGAAGGTTGCATGCTCCGAGGGCTGATGATTTTGACCTTGTTTTCCAATTGTCTTTTTTGGACCGAGTGTGATCGTTTTCCTGAGTATGAAGCCTTCGGCCATAGCGCCGAAGGCAACATCATGTGTAGTATGGATAGTCCGAAGTTTGGGCCACCGTACCTGGGCCACCCGGGCCTGTTGGGCCTGTTTTGTGGTAGTAGAAGTACGTGGGCTGGAGGTTCCTGGGCCATATACTCATCAGATGACCACTTATAAGTTGCCAAACGGTTTGACGATTCCGATCCCCAAACCATATTAAACCCAACCATATATCAGTAATAAGTTTTAGAGAAAATGGTCAAATAAAGTCTTCTACTATTATGAAATAGTCACATAAGGCTATGTACTAAATAAAGTGTCATATAAGTACCTCTACTTGTAAAAAGCAATCAAATGAGTCCTAATGACCTATTTAACACCTCTTAATCCCGATTTCAACGTACTTTTGACCATCTTTTTAGAATACATTATATGGCATATGTCGAATATTTAACTAAGATTGGTTGAAATACAAGTCAAAGAAATCGACATGTAAGCTAAAATCGGGATTAGGAGGTGTTAAATAAGGCGTTAGGACTCATTTGATTGTTTTATACAAGTAGAGGTACTTATTTGACACTTTATTGAGTACATGACCTTATGTGACTATTTCATAATAGTAGAAGGCCTTGTTTGACCATTTTCTCTAAGTTTTAACCCAATATTATTTCGGTAAATAATTACTTAATTCACATTATTTGAGAAAAAAACTCCTTTTAATCGGATCATTATTTTGAAAAGAAACTCACACGGATAGCTCAGTTGGTTCAGTGGTGGAAAATTTGATTCAAGTGACCAATGTTCGAAACACGCAACGACCGTGTGGAGATCACGAAACCTGAAATAAGGTTGGACCTCCGATACTCATATAAGAAAAATGTCTACCCATCATTGGAGCTACCCAGTAACCACACGGCCCCACCTAAACCTGCCCGAGCGCTCCCCAGTGAAGTCACTACGAAACCCCAAAATCACTCCCATCTGACATAAGTTGACTGCTCTATCCGTCTCAGTCTAGAAACTAGAAAGGGGTGCTCTGAGGTAAAACACGTTTCATCCATTTTCCGGCGAAATATAGTATCTGATCCGGGTGTTTTATGTGTTTCGGATTGATCATCACGCTATTTCATCTTTCTGCATAGTTTCTAATTCTTTCCTGTTATTTTCATTCCCATCAAATGTTTACTGGGCGAATCCGACCCATAAAATTTTCACCGTCAGAGCTTTATCCAATCGGTGGTATAGTGTTTTTTTTTATTTTCTACGATTTACAAGCACCTCTGTCTATCCTTGGTGGATTGGCATTTTTCTGCAATCCTAACCTGTTTTTTATGTGGGGAGACCAACTGCCGTCTTATTATTTGGGTCTTGTTCAGAAATAAGATTCAGAAAGGAAACGTTGGCTTGTGATTGATGGGAAACTTATGTGATTTTCTGATTTTGGGTAGTTCTAGACTTGCACTTGCTTCTAGGTTATGGCTTGTATAACAGGTTAAAGATGCACTAGTTGGGGGTGGTGTTTGTTATGAATTACATTTAATAAATTTGGGTTTGCGCTTTTTGATATGCTTTCACTTGTCTGACTTGATTATCCTATCTGTGAAACTCTATTATTTTCCTACCTGCTATGTGTTGGCCAAAATTAATGTCAATGTCAACTTTGTAATACATTGTTTCTGGAACTCTATAGATCACAAATAACAAGCAAACATGGTGAAGGCAGTTGCAGTTCTTAACGGCATTGAGGGTGTTGGTGGCACCATTCAATTCACCCAAGATGATATCCATGGTTCATATTTTACTTCTTTATTTTTTTTAAATGTAGAATCTAAATTTTCACTTGATGAAATCTGAATGGATATGCTTTGGAACTGTCTTAGGTCCAACTACAGTTAGTGGAAGTGTAACAGGCCTCAAGCCTGGTCTTCATGGCTTCCATATCCATGCCCTTGGTGACACAACAAATGGCTGCTTGTCAACTGGTAACTGTTCTAAGTGAAAGACTTCAGTGTCCATTTCTGAGTAATTGGTTTTTGGGAAAACTGTCAAGTAGATCCTTTTCGTACTTTATCAAACAATGACAATTAAGCCCTTTTACTCCAAAAACACCCAATCACACCCTCAAAGTTGAAAAACACTCAAATTTGTCATTTAGGCAGTCATCCACAGCTTTTCTTGTAACCCAATTACATGGCTACCTATGTGTCCTTTTTAATTTTTTTAAATCAAGTCTATCTCTTCTCTCTACCTTTTCCTCTAAGGCTACAACCACATCTTCTTCCTATTGGAAAGACTGGATTTTTATTCATTCCTTGTCTGTTGAGGTCTTCCGACATCTAAAGGATGTAAGCACAGTTGAAGCAGTGAGCAACCCCTATCCATATCATATTAAGGCTACAAGAAGCGAGGTTTGTAGTAAAGGTTTGCTGGCAATGCTACGAAGAAGATCTTGACCAATTGAAGGCAGTACCTAGAACAGAAAAAGAAAAAGGAAAGTAACAGATTGAATTGCTATGCCCTTTAATCTTCAGATCTTAAAATTCTGTAGAATGATGTCAGCAATCCCAGCTTTCAATTTTTTTTGCAAAGAGTTTGAACTCAGAAAACAATAATGAAGAAAGTGCGGAGAGGAGGAGAACATACTACTAGCCCTAATTTCATTTTTTCACGGAGCTCCAACATCTACTGTGTAATCGAGTAATACACACAACTCCTGTAAGGATCAACAACAACATCCAAGCCTTATCCCAAAGATTTTTGGGGTCGACTAACATGAATCGATACATGATATCTGAACCAAAAGGAAGGCACAACCGCACAACTCCTGTAAGGATACTAGGATAGTTATACAAAATTTCGTATATGTTGGGAGAATCGTGATGTTATTGAATGGAGGATAGTAAGTTTAAGAATAGAGTGGAGCACAGGAGGAGATGCAGGTTGGAAGAAGAAAAAGAGGAAGGGATGAACTTAATTAAAAAATAGAACTAAAAAATTAAAAAGAGTGCCACCTTCCTGGGCGGCCACGTAATGAAAGATCTGGGTTTTGTTTACAACTTCAAGGGTTTGATTAGGTGTTTTTGGAGTACAGGCCAACATGGACTTAATAAGCATTTTTGATAAAGTATGAGGTTCTATTTGATAGTTTTCCCTTGTGTTTTTCATGACTGAATTGATTACTTGTTTATTTTTGTGTTCGTTACTGAATCAATGAATTTATCTGTTTTGGGTTAACTAAACTTCACTTGCATTTTCTTGTGTAATGCCTCAAATCGAATAAATATACAGGGCCACACTTCAATCCCTGTGGGAAGGATCATGGAGCTCCTGAAGATGAAATCCGTCATGCCGGTGATCTTGGAAACATCACAGCTGGAAATGATGGTAAATTTATTTATTTAATCTAATGAATTTGTACATTATTTGGCATGCGGCACAACAATTTCTCTTAAATCCTCTACTTGATTTCTCTTTGGTTCTTCATAGATCTTTTGATGTAGCATGCATCACCCCCTATTCACTCCAAACTAGGTTAGATCTATCTTCTGAGCTACTGACCTCTTGAGCGTTAATTTATGTGCACACTATGAGCTATATCAGAGAAAGTTCTGCATCCATTTAAATATGTTTCCATACATCTCAAAAGAATGTTGGTGAAGATACCTGTTTAAAACTCTAAACTATATAGTACGGAGTATGTGTTAAGCACTTAAGCCCAAGCCTCCAAGATCTTGTCCAAGGCCGAGACTAAATAAACGAGAGGAAGTTACTTCATGAAACTTTTGGATCTATGTTAACGAAAAGAAGAGATTTAGGTACCAATATTTCTTAAGTTGCAATTAATCAGGTATTAGACCAAGTGACCAACCCATGATTAACTCTTCCAGAATTACTTTATGAAATAAAACTGAAAGCTCCTATATAGCTATAACATGAGACCAAATACAATGCTAAAATAAGACCTCTAGGGGTATTTGCTATTTTGCTGATCAATGCCAAAATATAGCTGGACAATGCCAAAATAAGACCTTCATGTGTGCTGCTTCCGTTGACTGCCTCAGTTGCCCCCCCAGGCGTTGCATCATCGTTGCTAAGTGTGTCTTGTAACTGCGTCCTTAACAGTATAGAATTGTTAACAAAGCATAACTATTTGGTTCAGTGCTTTGAAGTATCTCTGCGTTTGAAGTTTTCTACTCTTGATAGAGAGCGGGAAGAGCATGGGGCGGGACCGGGCTTTGCTGGGTTAGGGCTGTCATTAGAGTCTATTTATTATTATTAAGTTAATGTTATGTTTTACTTTGGGCCTATTATTAGTAGAGTATTTAGTAGAGTTATTATGGGCCTAATTAGGAGTTATTTATTTTGGGCGTAATTAGGGTCTCTCTGGAGTCTATCATTAGTAGGTTATTTAAACCCCTTGTGGGAGTCATTCTTGAGCATCTTGGAATAAAATTGGTTTTAACCTTTTGGCTCTGGGCAACGGTATTTTTATTGTTGATTAAAATTGGTTTACCCCGTTGATTTTATTTTTCTGTTACACAACATCTCTCTATTCCGATATTTAAATACTTTTCTGTCTCAAGAAAGACTAATTTTTCATCAACAGAAGCTAGTTTCATGTAGTTCAAAAAAGTTGCAAACAAATGACATATGATAATTTTAGTTAAACAAACAAAATATTTTAAGAAATTGCCTAAATATGAGCAAAAGTCTAAAAGACTCACTCTAAAAGACTAACTGTTATGAAGTAGCAGTTAGTCCATGCAATTTTCGACGTGATTTTCATCATGGGTCATTCGGAAATAGTCTCTCAGACATTCGACCCCCTTACCCCGACCGTAGGTGGGAGCTTTTGCGGCACTGGGGTAATGTTGTTGTTTGTTGTTGTTGCCTAAATATGAGTAGTCATTATGGAATTCCAAAATAGGAGTACTATGTTTGTATTCTTAAATAGGAGTAATTACTGTCATGCATGGAACATATTGCCATTTATGGCAGTATACCGCCATATTAAAGCCCAGAAATTCAAAATATGCCAGTAAATTTTCTGCATTGGCAGTAATGTATTCCTATTTAGGAAAAAAGCACAACTCCTATTTTTGAAATTTACATTGTTTCTACTCCTATTTCGAGAATTATACCAAAGATTTTAAAGTGCAAGTATGGTTTATGATAATTGTACCCTAGTACCCTACACATATTTGAAAGCTGTATGATTGTCAAACATAGATTTTTTTGGGGATGGAGGATTGGAGATAGTACTTTTATGGGTGTTTCTGATACAGATATCAAATGTTTCAGGTGTTGCTCCCATTAACATCATTGACAGTCAGGTGAATCACCATCTTTAGCTTGGGTTAAATTGAGTGCAAAATGAAACACGAGTTGACTTTATTATTAATTATTAGCCAATCTCTTAAATATTTTATAACTATTACTTATAACTGTTGCAGATTCCTCTTATCGGAACTAATTCTATCCTTGGAAGAGCCGTAGTTGTTCATGGTGATCATGATGATCTTGGGAAAGGTGGTTGTCCCCAACACTTGCATGCCATGTTATGCTTTGTTATTTTACATAATGTAATTTATGAAATGAAATTTACAATCAGATTCTCCAATAAAAATCTACACTGTTGTTCTCTCCATTCCGGAGTTGTAAATCATTCGTTTCTGGATTGGGGGAAAAAGGATTTGCACTGAACTTTAGGCGTCTAGGCTTGAGAGAAGACTCTATTGAATAATGGACGAAACAATCCACACTTTAAATATATGTTGCAAATTCAATATACTTCTTCTTTCAACTGAGTTTGTTGCTGCTGCTGCTGACTGTTTCCATTTTTTTTGTCAATGAGAAGTTTCATTATGTTTTTTCCACATAAATGGAGAGTTGTATGTTAATATTCTTTTTTGCACCTTTACTACTTAGGTGGTCATGAGCTCAGCAAAACAACTGGAAATGCTGGAGCAAGGGTTGCTTGTGGTAAGCATTCCTAAACTTTATACTGTAACAATATTCTTCGGTTTCCCCACCATTTATTGCACACAAAGATATCCTAAGTAACTAAATGAAATTATTTGCAGACACCAATCTTTTCTGGTCTTGGTTTTCTGTGCCCCAAAACTCTAAACTAAACATTCATTGTCATCTTTGTGCAGGTATCATTGGTCTGCAAGCTTAATGAGTGCATCCGGGAAATGTTGTGACAATAAAAAATGTTGTGCCTTTCTTTCAACAACACTTGTCTTTGAAATTGATTCCTTTTCTTGATCCACTCTCTTATGGGCGGTGGTATGAACTTAAACTCTGTAGTTCTACTGAAACATCGGACTTTTTTTGTTTGTTAATCAACACTTGATAATAAGTGGGTTTGCTCAGACAACTCATAGTTTTTTTTAGTCATCATGAGAAGCCAAATGCGATTTCTAGAATTGGCGAATGAGATTGATGAACGTTTTGGATGTTTATTCTGGTGGTAAAACTATCAGGTGATGTATCTGTTGGTGGACTATGTTTAAATTATTGGGTTATTGTTTGAATGAGAGACTATTGTCTGAAACTTAAATATGAAGTGTTGAATTTGAAATACCAGGTGATTGAGGTAGACATGTTGGGCAAAAATAGCTGAAATTATGACTATAAAGTACTTCCTCTGTCCCAAAAAATACTTCCCGGTTTGAATTGGCATGTTTATTAAGAAAGTGAAATAAAATGGAAATGTATGATTGTAGTTGTGTAAGAAAAAAGTGAAATGAATGTGAGCCACACAAATTGTCCAAAAAAAGAAAGTGGGGAGTATTTTTTGGAACGATTCAAAAAGGAAAGTGGGAAGTATCTTTTGGGACGGAGGGAGTATAAAATTACATTAAAATACATAATAAACTGAATATTTTTATAACACTACAATATTTTATATTTATTGATTCTTTTGTCCCAAAATACTTGGCCATATTTTAAGTTTGTATAATGATTTTGATTAGTACAATATTATGGAAGTTATATATTTTATAATTTTATGAAAGTGTTTTTAACAAAGAATATTTTCACATCATTTTTTATATTATAAATAATTTCTATTAAATATATATGGTTGGTCCAATTTTCCAAAACGACTAACTACTTTGGAACGGAGGTAGTATAATATTAAGATGTTCTATATTTTTATACACACTATGTAGTAGTGTTGGACCGGTACTGGGCTGACCGGCCCGCTACTGTGCGGCCCCGGCCCGGCCTGGGAGTCAGGTACCGGTTCTGGACCTAGGACCGGTCCGGGGAGTTGGGACAGGGCGGTTCTGGGCTGACCTTCCTTTGGAATCGGTCCGGCCGGGCCGGGCTCGAATCGGGCCTGTTTTTTTTATTTCTTTGTTTTTCTATTTTTTGTTTTCCCTAGATGGGTTGGGTGTTTTGGGGGTGAGGGGGTCGGGGGTTAATTAGAAAAGCAAAAAAAAGGACTGGCCTGGAAACTGTCCATGGCTACTACGTAGTATGTATTGTATTAGTAGATCACGAATCCAACACCCAATTTTTTTCCCAACATTATGATTTTTTTATTAATGGCATGTTTATAATAATTAATGACTGTTTTAAATGTAACATTGTGACATTCTTTTGTGACATGACCACTATTTAATATTGTGGCAATTTTTATAAAATTTGGCATCGTTTACCCCATGTTCATATTTTTTTTATTTTCAAGAGCCGATATACACAAGTAATTATGCATACACATAAAAGTAAATACTTCAAATTGTCACTTTTATTTGGCACCATTGTCACAGTTTATTGCAATATTGTGATATTTTTTGTCATTGCCACAGTTGATAATTTTTGTCAATCTCGTCATTATGTTTAACATTGACACTTTTGTTGACATTAATATATTTTAACTCTAACTTTTTTTAACATTGTCATTTTTTAAACAATTACAACTATATTCAAGCTTTAAATATCAATTCAGGACCCGAAAGATAGATTAAATATCAATTCAGGACTCGAAAGATAAAACGTATCGGTATAGGACCTGATGGAAAAGTTATCAATTTAGGACCTAACGTTTCATAGGTTTTGATTTATTTAATTTTTTATTAATTCAATTACTAATTTTTGATATAGTTTTCTTCACAAAAGTTTATTAGTTTAATAAAACTAAATAATATTTAAAAATTTTAAAATAAAAGAAATTAAAAAAATTATGACAACTTAGGTCCTAGATTAATAGTTTTCAATCATTCAGGTCCTAAATTGATAGTTTTTCATCATTCGGGTCCTATATCGATGCATTTCATCTTTCAGGTCCCGGATTGATAATTCGTCTATCTTTCGGATCCTGAATTGATAAAATTCCAAATACATACTACTTTCGTCTCGCTATGATTGTCTCATTTTACCTTATCGGTCAGTCCCATTAATTTGCGTGTCACTCCTTGTCCCATTGTTAGCGAGACGGAGGGAGTATAAGATAAAGATACAAATGATAATATAAAAAAATATAAAATAAAAGGGATAACATGATAAAAAATATATGAAAAATAAAGAAGATAAAAAGATAAAAGATAAAAAAAGAGAAAAAGGTTGAAAAGAAATCAATCCTCCACATGAATATTCATCATCCACTTTGCTCTCTTCAAAACCACACTCTGCAAATCAAAAAATAATATACCACTTTTGATTCCTGTAATCCAGGTTTGTTTGGATTATCTTCTCCCTCTCTTCTTTGCCTCTTTTCCACACCTCTCGACGCGTCTAACTGGTGCATCACTCGCTCTTCTACACTCTTGACCAAATCATCGCAATCGAGACTCATGCATCTTATGAATCTTATCTCCTATAAGTACAACTCCCACCTATTGTCTAATTATCTCATTCCTCAAAAAATATTTTTTAGTATGTTTACACATCCAACGCAGCATACACATCTCTATCACATTTATTGTTGTTATTGTTGTTATTATTGTAGTTTCTGAATATATTAATTTTATTTACTAAAACTAATCAGAGTGTGAACAGGGATTAAGTTGCTTTATCGTCAGTCAAGCATCGTAAACCGTTCACGGGAACCTTCTAGCAGGACGGACGGAGTATTATTCTTCTTCTTCTTATTGTTGTTATTATTATTATTGTTGTTGTTGTTGTTGTTGTTATGATTGTTATTATTATTATTATTATTTTTGTTGTTGTTGTGATTATTATTATTGTTGTTGTTGTTGTTATTATTATGATTACACGGAGTAATTATAATTATAATTATAGATATCAATATTATAATTATAATTACAATTATAATTATAGAAATAATTATAATTAAAAAAATAATTACAATTATAATTATAGCTATAATTATAATCAATGTAATAAGTATAATTATAATTATACTCATTATATTTTAAATTTAATTATAACTATGATTATGATTATAATTATAATTTTTTATAAGTATGATTGTAATTATAATTATATTTAAACTATATTTATAATTATAATTATAATTATAATAATTATAATTATAATTATAATTTTAGAAATATTCAAATCAGAAAGATTCAGATTAGATCAGAAGAATCCAGATCAGATCAGACCAAATCAGAAGGATTCAGATCAGGTTAGAAGAATGCCAAACATGACAAGATATAGGGTTAATTATCAAAATAGGATTAAAAGTCACCCACTTTGCATAAATAGGACCAAAATATAAACTATGTTTTCATAAGACTAATTATGTGTGTCTTGGACAAATATACCCTTATAGCTATTGAAATGTTTTAATTCATAATAAAATAATAAAAAAAAAATAATTCGTAAAAAATACTAAAAAATTAATAAAAATATTTCGATAATAATAATTTATTTAATTTTTTTTTAAAAAAATAAATAAAAATAAATAAAAAAAATAAAAAACTCAAAAAATTAAAATAAAACCCACCGCCGCCTCTGCTGCCTCTGCACCACCACCTCCGGTCACCAGGGGGAAAAAATGCCAAGTTCATTACGAATGCCATATTTATGGCAGAAACAATGAAAATGTTGGCATTCTCAAAGACAAATATGCCATGTTTTTGGCATTTTCAGAAAAAATGGCAGTTTTTAGAAAAAATGGCATTTTTTTCACCGCTCCGGAGATGGTGGTGCAGGGAGGTAGTACAGGCGGTTGGAAAGGCATCCATATTTTTAATTATTTTTATGGAGTTTTACTATTTTTTATTAATTTTTTAAAAAATAAAAAAATTCAAAAAATTTATTTTTTTATTTTTTTATTTTATAAATATTTTATAAATTTTTTAATTATTTTTCTACGAATTTTTGATATTTTTTCGAATTTTTTATCAATTAAACATTTAATTAACTCATATTTAAAGGAAGGGTAGGGATGGAATGAAAAAATATGTATGTTTCCAATAGGACTAATATGGTCCTATTTTGAAAAGAAAAACATAGTAAGTACTATTTTGAGTTTTTGACATAGTTATAGTCCTATTTTGAGTAATTTCTACGAGATATATCATCAAATGAAATAAAACAAGCCAAATACAACAAGGTTTTAATATGCCACAATCAACAGGGTTATTAAGCGAAAGACTTATGGTGATGTCTCCTCAGTAACCTAGTTTGCCAAATCTGGAAAATTGGGATCACATTTAAGCTTTCTTGGCTATCAGATCCTCAATCAAACATGCAGAGCATCTTGAACTGCAGCAATACTCGGAGCACTGTCTTCTTTCAGTGTCATTCCAAACTGTCCTCAAGCCCCATCACGACTCCACCTGAAACATAGACGATGGAAATGGAAATATCATCAGAAAATAGGAAATGTAAGAGCGGAACAAAGGGCACACAAGATGGTGAAAAATTCAATAAGCCATGTTTTGACCTTATTACAGGGTTTTGACAAAATAATGCTTCTAATTACAATAGAGCACATTCTTGAAATCAGTGTTGTAGCTGAATTTTATGATGTGGTAAAAATGGATCAATCAGAACTAAGCAAGGAAAATTAATGTTGTGCTGCCAATCTGAAACATAATGACTACAAACAGAATGACAAAAGGTCTGAAGCAACATAGGGTGAGTTACTTCAAACATGGATGAGCTTCATATTCATCAAGCTGCCTAAAAACTCGACCTTTCAACTTGTAGTTTGGTACTGCTATCAAAAACAACAAAACATCCAATTAGGTACGAGAGACTTTTCTGATTTCAAACACACAATACTTTCTTGATCATAAGTTCATTTGCGTCACTACATCCTCAGGGAATATGGCTTCATGCAATCAAATTATCTTCTTCACTTCCTTCATTGTATTTGGTATTCTATTCACGAGGAATAATGTTGAAAAAGTTGAGGCTGCAGACATCTTCTGCACACAAGAATGCAAGCCTGAAGCATTCTATATGCTAGGCCCAAAAAATAACACAAAGATTTACAATGTTTGCAAAAATTGTTGTCAAGCTAGACTCCTAAGTTGTCATCTATAGTTCTATACCATGCTGATGATAGTCTTATATGTTAATCTCTCATGACGACTTATGTTATTCCACATTTTGTCATTATTTCACAATAATGAATTCCTAATTGGTTTATCAACTAAAAACAAAGGTAAGAGAAACGCCCTCCCTAAAAAGTTAAAACAACACCCCAATCAGCTTAGCTGTGGATTCCTATATATATGCACATTGTTTAAGGAAGGGTGGAGTATTGATAATGGAAACTTTATGATGTTTGGAAGGAAGCTTTTATTGTCAGAGGGATGCAAATTGAAGGACATTGTAGGTAGTAGATATATCCAGACCCTAGCAGAAACATCAAATGCTTGTTTACTATCTATGCTGTATAAATTAGCACAGAAAACTAATCATTCTATTTAAGGGGGGGTATATACTAATTCTATTTAATTTATTAGATCACAAATATATTAAGCAGCCAAAAAAGACTCATGGAGACATGTCTTTAAATACACCAAGTTAAGAAAATGGAAACAAAAATTAAACTTTATTGGCTATATATATGAGATCCTCCTCATAAATCAAATCTGCTGCATCATGAACTTTTTTAATACTCCTTTCAGCAACTTCTTTTTCCCCTGTAGTTCCAAGAGCTTAGCTTGTCGAGCTCGTCAAGACCGTTGTGCTTAAACTTGAGGAGTACTTGTCTCTCACCATCACTGCATTTACTGACACTGGATATGGATATTGCAACTGATACATGAATGGACGGTAGAGTGGCACACAAGCAGTAGTTGCAGGTTTAGTTAGCATAACTGCCCTAAGGCAGTTCAAATAAACTATGGGATGAGAATGCTATGAGCTGTCTTATCTTTGGAATTAGTACAAAGTAGATGTACATTTAAGGAATTTTATCAGAAGCTTTATTTGTAATGCCTATTTAGAGTTTTTTATTTAAGACAGTGCAAAATTCATGCATCTTAGATATTATCAGACGCCAAAACCCCATTTCACAGTTCTCGGAGCAAATTCTTCTTCCACTAATTCTAAACTCTTCTTCATCACACAACAATCTCAATTCTCAATTGAAGAAAACCAGGTAAAATTAAGATAAATAAAAAGATTTTCATCAAAATGTGCTAGAGAATTAAAGAAACAAAAGTGCCCCATACTCAACAAAAGAATTAACCGATAGCAAATTAAAGCAGTAATAAAGACAAACTTGAAAGAAAAATGCATGTAGGATGAAGGTAATTAGGCTGACCTGTTAACCCCAAGTATTCTCACAAACTTTGCTTTGTGGACTGCAGCTACAACATAAGCCCAATCAACAACATCTTGAAGGAATTTGAAATATGCAAACCTAAAGGGCCTGTTGAATAGCATTGTTACATTAAGTCCCAAAAATCCAACCACATATCCGACTTCCATGCTTGCGTAAAACTCAATGCCAATAAGCTTATTCATATCTTCATTGAATCCACGTAGCCCGGGATTCGCCAGGGCTATGACAACAGATATGCCTTTTCCAAAATTTTCAGGAATGGAACCTCCTAAATTATTATGACTGATATCAAGGTATGTGAGGGCAGGCATGTTGTTTCCAAAATTTTCAGGAATTGAGCCTTCTAAGCTATTATGACTGATATCAAGGTGTGTGAGGGAAGGCATGTTGTTTCCAAAATTTTCTGGAATTGAGGCTGCTAAGCTATTATGACTGATATCAAGGTGTGCGAGGCAAGGCATGTTGTTTCCAAATTTTTCAGGAATGGAGCCTTTTAGGCTATTGTAACTGATATCAAGGTGCGTGAGGGAAGACATGTTGTTTCCAAAATTTTCAGGAATGGAGCCTCCCAACCAATTATAACTGAGATCAAGGTGCGTGAGGGAAGGCATGTTGTTTCCAAAATTTTCAGGAATGGAGCCTCCTAACCGATTATAACTGAGATCAAGGTGCACGAGGGAAGGCATGTTGTTTCCAAAATTTTCAGGAATGGAGCCTCCCAACCAATTATAACTGAGATCAAGGTGCGTGAGGGAAGGCATGTTGTTTCCAAAATTTTCAGGAATGGAGCCTCCCAACCAATTATAACTGAGATCAAGGTGCGTGAGGGAAGGCATGTTGTTTCCAAAATTTTCTGGAATTGAGGCTGCTAAGCTATTATGACTGATATCAAGGTGTGCGAGGCAAGGCAGGTTGTTTCCAAATTTTTCAGGAATGGAGCCTTTTAGGCTATTGTAACTGATATCAAGGTGCGTGAGGGAAGGCATGTTGTTTCCAAAATTTTCAGGAATGGAGCCTTTGAACCCATTCCAACTCATATCAAGATGCGTGAGGGAAGGCATGTTGTTTCCAAAATTTTCAGGAATGGAACCTCCTAAATTATTATGACTGATATCAAGGTATGTGAGGGCAGGCATGTTGTTTCCAAATTTTTCAGGAACTGAGCCTTCTAAGCTATTATGACTCATATCAAGGTGTGTGAGGGAAGGCATGTTGTTTCCAAAATTTTCTGGAATTGAGGCTGCTAAGCTATTATGACTGATATCAAGGTGTGCGAGGCAAGGCATGTTGTTTCCAAATTTTTCAGGAATGGAGCCTTTTAGGCTATTGTAACTGATATCAAGGTGCGTGAGGGAAGACATGTTGTTTCCAAAATTTTCAGGAATGGAGCCTCCCAACCAATTATAACTGAGATCAAGGTGCGTGAGGGAAGGCATGTTGTTTCCAAAATTTTCAGGAATGGAGCCTCCTAACCGATTATAACTGAGATCAAGGTGCACGAGGGAAGGCATGTTGTTTCCAAAATTTTCAGGAATGGAGCCTCCCAACCAATTATAACTGAGATCAAGGTGCGTGAGGGAAGGCATGTTGTTTCCAAAATTTTCAGGAATGGAGCCTCCCAACCAATTATATCTGAGATCAAGGTGCGTGAGGGAAGGCATGTTGTTTCCAAAATTTTCTGGAATTGAGGCTGCTAAGCTATTATGACTGATATCAAGGTGTGCGAGGCAAGGCAGGTTGTTTCCAAATTTTTCAGGAATGGAGCCTTTTAGGCTATTGTAACTGATATCAAGGTGCGTGAGGGAAGGCATGTTGTTTCCAAAATTTTCAGGAATGGAGCCTTTGAACCCATTCCAACTCATATCAAGATGCGTGAGGGAAGGCATGTTGTTTCCAAAATTTTCAGGAATGGAACCTCCTAAATTATTATGACTGATATCAAGGTATGTGAGGGCAGGCATGTTGTTTCCAAATTTTTCAGGAATTGAGCCTTCTAAGCTATTATGACTCATATCAAGGTGTGTGAGGGAAGGCATGTTGTTTCCAAAATTTTCTGGAATTGAGGCTGCTAAGCTATTATGACTGATATCAAGGTGTGCGAGGCAAGGCATGTTGTTTCCAAATTTTTCAGGAATGGAGCCTTTTAGGCTATTGTAACTGATATCAAGGTGCGTGAGGGAAGACATGTTGTTTCCAAAATTTTCAGGAATGGAGCCTTTGAACCCATTCCAACTCATATCAAGATGCGTGAGGGAAGGCATGTTGTTTCCAAAATTTTCAGGAATGGAGCCTCCTAACCGATTATAACTGAGATCAAGGTGCGTGAGGGAAGGCATGTTGTTTCCAAAATTTTCAGGAATGGAGCCTCCCAACCTATTATAACTGAGATCAAGGTGCGTGAGGGAAGACATGTTGTTTCCAAAATTTTCAGGAATGGAGCCTCCTAACCGATTATAACTGAGATCAAGGTGCCTGAGTGAAGGCATGTTGTTTCCAAAATTTTCAGGAATGGAGCCTTGTAAGCTATTATGACTGATATCAAGGTGCGTGAGGGAAAGCATGTTGTTTCCAAAATTTTCAGGAATGGAGCCTCCTAACCGATTATAACTGAGATCAAGGTGCCTGAGTGAAGGCATGTTGTTTCCAAAATTTTCAGGAATGGAGCCTTGTAAGCTATTATGACCGATATCAAGGTGCATGAGGGAAGGCATGTTGTTCCCAAAATTTTCAGGAATGGAGCCTCCTAACCAATTATAACTGAGATCAAGTTGCGTGAGGGAACGCATGATGTTTCCAAAATTTTCAGGAATGGTGCCATGAATTCCCGTGTTAGCTAGACTGAGATGTTGAATGGAAACTATAATACTAGCGTTATTACTATTGTTGTTCCCAATCAAAGATGAGATGCTCTGGTGTGCCAGTAAATCAAAGTTACCACTAAGATCCAAATACTTCAAATAGCGCAGCTCATAAATGAATGGAATGCTGGTATATCCAACTTTCGAGGACAGATTCCACGTACCAGAAAGATCGATCCTGATGACATGACCAGTAATGTTATCGCACCCAACTCCCTTCCAACCGAAGCAACAATCTTCACTGTGGTTGCCCCAAGAGCTGAGAAAGTTATGCATGTGAAGAACGCTGTGCTTGAACTTGAGGAGTACTTCTCTCTCCCCATCAATGCATTTAGTGGCACTGGATATGGATCTTGCAGCAGCAGCCACACTCATCACCAGCAGCAGCAACCAGCTCACCATTTCAATGGACGATAAAGTTGATCCGCCCATTCTTTCTCATTTTCTGTGGTCGGTTAGCTAAAGCTCCTCTCATCTTTTTGTACCCCATCTCAAGCATTTTCAACTTCCACCCCACACGCTACCAAGTCAACTCGTTTCAAATGAAGTCAAGCTATTCACCTCATACACGCTTTAGCCCGTTCTTTTACCGTCCATCACGTACCTTGCGTCTCATCACTCTCATGCCACTTTTGCTATGCTCAATTTTTGTAAAAGAATATATCAAATTTTGTAACTTTTTATTATCTTTCCAATGATATCAATATTTTATATATATACATTTGAAAAAACAATAACTTTTTTCTAGGTATTTGTTTTAAGCTGATTGTTTTTAAAAAAAAATTCATACTCTCTCCGGTTCTAAATAAAGTTCACACTTTCCTTTTTGAGCCAGTCCAAATTAAAGTTCAAACTTCTTCTCCCTTCCTTATTTGGCAAATTATCTGCATCAAAACAGTGTAAAACAGTGTGAAACAGTGCCAAACAGTGTCACAAAAGTGTACTCTACAGTAAAACATCATACTTCCCTCTCTGCCTTAAAGTTCAAACTTCTTCTCCCTTCCTTATCCGGCTCAACCCCAGGTTGAGGAAAACATCATACTTCCCTCTCTGCCACACCCCTTCGGCAACCCCCTCCCTCGGGTTAGGAATGGCGAAGGGGTAGTGGCCCAAGATACGTCCTCCCAGGAAGTTCAGTCCCGGGACCGCCACCATGACGACAGAGAAAGGCCCCGCACTTCCGCCCTCAACCGGCTCGGAGGAGGGCCAGATCGCCGAGGGGTCCAAGACCGCCTCGGAGGGAAAGCACTCCAAAGGCCCCAGGAAAGCGGAGGGTCTGTCTCGAGGGCAGACGAGGAGCGTCCCCCTCGGGACAAAGGCAAGGCACCCCTTCATGCCAATGATGCTCGCCACCAGATCAACCAGACCCACTCGGCCCGGGTTCGTTCGCAGGGGGCGGAGACCCTCCCAAAGGATCCCCGGGACGAGATTATTGCGGCCCTCCAACGCCGGCTTGACGAAATGGAGTCCAACAAAGCTCACGCCACCACCTCCACCCCTCACTCGGACCTCAAATACGAGGCCATGATGGCCAAAATGGAGGAATTACAGAAGAAGGTGGCCGAGGGCTCCGGGGAACCCGTCATCCAGCTCCGGACTCGGACGCCATTTACCCCAAGGGTATTGGCGGCCCGGATCCCGGAAAAATACTGGGGGCAACACATACAGCCCTACAACGGGAAAACGGACCCCCAGGAACACTATAGCAAATACCAGAACAGCATGATGATGGTAGGGGCGTCAGACGAATATTTGTGTCGTTGGTTCCTCTCCACCTTAGAGGGGCCGGCATAAGAATGGTTCAACAGGCTGCCCGAGAGCTGCATTGATTCGTGGCAAGAACTCGCCCAGCGATTCTTGACACAATTTGCCGGAAGGCGTCGCACAAGGAAGCACTTCTCCCACCTCCTGACCATACGCCAGAAGAGGGATGAGACCCTTCGGAACTTCCTGGAGCGCTGGAGGACGGAGGCCGACAAGGTCGACGGTGCTGATGACGGGACCCTCCTGGCCCTCCTACAAACCGTCCTCCGCACCGGCAACTTTTCAAGGAGCCTCATCATTGAACCCCCCCGCGACTACATAAGGGCTTTACAGCGGGGGGACCGATATGCTGAGGCCGAGGATGTGGAGAAATATCACCAGCATCAGGATCAGCAACCCCCGAGGGCAGACAACAAACATAACCGAGGGCCGGGGGCTCCTCCGATTCACCCCAAACCTTCAGGACCCTCTGATGACCGCCCTCGGCAAGGCCAAGCCAAGCCCGGGGGAGGTTATAAGAGCAACCCTAAGACTTGGGCACAGCCCATTCTCCTGGACCGCCCTCGGACACCATTGACGCACCCCGTCAGCATCATCCTCGATTTTGCCAAGGAGAGGGGCCTCGTTGAGCGCGACTCTCGCGCACCCCCGGAGGTACATGCTATCAACCCTCAGTTCCCATACTGTCGCTTCCATCGGCACCAGGGGCACAGGACCGATGACTTCCATCAGCTAAAGACGGCCATCGAGAGGTTAATACAAACAGGGCACCTGTCCCAATTTGTTCAGAGCCCTCGGCAGGAGGGACCTTCTCATCAGGGGCCTCCCCGAGGGCACCACACGAAGGTGAACGCTTGGGTAAACCCGAATACCATCCCCCTCGGCAAGAAGAGGGAGATTGGAAACTTGGAAGAAGAGGAGGAGGAATACCCCCACTACCAGGAGAAAAAACGCCACATCCTCATGATCACCGGTGGCAATACAGGGGGCGATTCCACCAGCCAGTGAAAGAAGTGGGCTCAATCGCTTTACGTGGGGGAAGTCACTCATATGCCCCCGGTAAAGCGACTGAGGGAGGAACCCATCACCTTCACCAACGCAGATCTCCCTCCTACTTCATCTCCTCACAGGGATGCCTTGGTGATTCGGGCTGAAATAAACGACACCATCATTCACCGAACTTACATTGACACGGGCAGCTCCGTCAATGTAATGTACCTCAACACCTTCAGAGAGCTGCATCTGGAGAGGGGGTCCCTTCGGCCCATTAAGACCCCTCTTGCCGGCTTCACCGGCGATACTATTGATTCCGAGGGGGTAATAACCCTCCCGGTGATCTTCGGCGACGGGCTCCATAGAGCCCAGCTCGAAGTGGAGTTCGTCGTTGTCAACATCGACTGCGCCCACAACATTATTTTCGGCCGGCCAGCCCTCGAGGACCTCGAGGCCATCATCTCCATGAGGCACCTCTGCCTCAAGTTCCCCGCCAAGGGGGGCATTGGCTACTCCCGGGGGAATCAGAAGATCGCCCGCGCCTGCTATCTTCAGGTCACTAAGAAGGTAAGCAAGACGGAATTCCGTGTTGACACCATCACCGGAACCATCGACCAAGAAGAAAAAAGGCCGAGGGCTGAACCAGCTGAGGACGTAGAAGACTTTGCGCACGATCCGGCCCAGCCGGAGAGAGTCGTGAAGATTGGAGGACATGCCGGGAATCAGCCAGAGCTCCCTGAAGATCTGAAGACCGGTATCACCGACGCCCTCCGCGCCTACTCCACTGTCTTTGCATGGGGGCCGGAGGACATACCGGGAATCAGCCGAAGGGTCATCACCCACCGCCTCTCGGTGGACCCCTCGGCAAAAGCAGTACAACAACGAAGAAGACCCCTCTTCGCCGAGAGGAGGGAATTTGTGAAGAAGGAGGTCGCCATGCTCCTCTCAATTAAGCACATCAAGGAGGTGAAATACCCCTCATGGCTAGCAAATGTAGTCCTCGCAGAAAAGCCCCCTACCTTCCGCATGTGCGTGGACTACACCGATCTCAACAAGGCGTGCCCTATGGATCCATTCCCTCTACAAAACATTGATCAACTGGTGGATGAGACCGCAGGGTGTGAGATCATGTCCTTCCTCGATGCCTTCCGAGGGTATCACCAAATTTTCATGCACGAGGAAGACGCCGAAAAAACTGCCTTCATGACTCTCGAGGGCATCTTCTGCTACCTAGTAATGGCCTTCGGCCTAAAGAACTAAGGGGCCACTTACACCCGAATGGTGGCCCGGGTCTTTCAAGCCGTCCTAGGGCGCACCATGGAGGCCTATGTCGACGACATGATCGTCAAGAGCAAACAATCTTCCAGCCATGCTGACGACCTCCGGGAAATCTTCGCCATCATGCAAAAGTTCAGCCTTCGGCTAAACCCGAAGAAGTGCACCTTCGGCGTCCAAGGGGGCAAGTTCTTGGGCTACATGGTGAGCCGAAGGGGTATTGAGGCCAATCCCGAGAAGATCCAGGCCATCATCAACATGGAGCCCCCACGCAATGTGAAGGAAGTCCAACGGTTGACGGGCCGCCTGGCAGCCCTCAACCGCTTTCTATCTAAATCGGCAGAGAAATCTCTACCCTTCTTCCAGATCATGAGGAAGACGACTGGCTTTCTATGGACTCCGGAATGCCAGGGGGCTTTCGACGAGCTCAAACGATATCTATCTTCACCTCCTGTGCTCTCCAAACCCAAGGTAGGGGAGACCATCTACCTCTACCTTGGGGTCAGCCCGGCGGCCATCAGCTCTGTGCTCATTCGGGAGGAAGACGGCATCCAACATGCCATCTTCTACGTTAGCAAGACCCTAAGGGAGGCCGAGCTTAGGTACTCTCCTGTGGAAAAAACGGTGTTAGCCATCGTTTGGACCGTAAAAAAGTTGGGCCACTACTTTCAGGCTCACCCGGTTCAGGTCCTCACTCATCAACCCCTCGGCGCCCTCATGAGGAGCCCCACCAGCTCCTCCCGCATGGTGAAATGGGCTATCTTCTTGAGCCAGTACAACATTGACATCCGTCCAAGGCCGGCCATCAAGGGCCAAGCCCTGGCGGACTTTGTGACGGAATGTACCGCAAGGGCAGCCACGGACGGGGAGCCCTCGGCTACCTCGGACGACTGGTGGACCCTCTACACCGACGGCTCCTCCGCGACCAAAGCATGCGGGGGAGGGGTAGTCCTCATTACTCCCGAGGGCTTCAGAGCCTACTATGCAATCCGCTTCTCCTTCAAAGTCTCCAACAACGAGGCCGAATATGAGGCCCTCCTATGTGGCCTTCGGCTGGCTGCCAACATGAGGGCTCGGCAGATCCACATCAAATGCGACTCCAAGTTGGTCGTTGGCCAAATCTCCGAGGAATATGAGGCCAAGGAGGGAAGAGTGAAACAATACAAGGAAGCGGCCAAGGAGTTGCTTAAGGTATTTGAGGCACACTCTCTCACTCAAATACCGAGGTCTCAGAACTCCGAGGCCGACATATTATCTAAGCTCTCGGTCGACTCCCCCGAGTACATCTCCAAAATTGCCAAAATTGAGGAACTCAGCCTCTCAAGTATCCATGCGAGCCCCGTTATGAACATACAACAACGCCAAGAGGATTGGATCTCAGATATCACCGCCTTCATCTCCACAGGGCAGCTACCCGAGAATGAGACCCGCGCTAAACTGGCGAAGCTAAGGGCTCCTAGCTACACCATCGA